TTATAAATATTGACAAAATGTTGTAGGTTATTGATTCCGGATGCTATTTCATTACAATTCGGTCCAGGATGATCATGGATTCTAACCAGAATGTTTTACAATGTAGATAAGTCACTGATATGCGTATTCAAAATATTACTGGAAAGTTGTAGATAAATGCAGTGTTATGTATTCAAAATAAACTTGGAAATTAAGTAAAAATAAAATGTAATTTCAATGTATTAAAAATATTTTGTAAATGAGCATGGAAAATATAATACTATAGGTATATTTAATAAAATGAGTTTCAGAATATAATTCTGATTGTTAGAAGAATGCTTCCAGGATTGCGTGTTGGAACATTTCCTGCCTGTCTACCTCGATTTAAATCTGTGCTCATACACGCAACTCCTGTCATTTTAAACACTTGTATCTTTTATCTTAGTTCAGTTTCAAAGAGCATTAAATATACTATGGCTTCAGGCTACGTATTGTTAAAATAAATTAATGAAATAATCATAATCTGTATGAATTTTGTGGAAATGACAACTAGTCGCTGGTATTCTATGATACGCAAGAGCTTGCATGCGTCAACGTATTATTGGAAGCCATTATAACATAACGATTAACGAACACAAGGCGTTTTGAAAGAAGTAATGATAATATTAATACATAAATAGTGGTACAAAATAATAAATCTTCTTGACATTTCAGTGTGTTTGCGAAGATGTCATGTGCGCGTGAAAATTGAAAATTCACTTTTTGAGCAAGACAGACATACGACAGAAAATATTCATGGTATGAGCCGTTTATACCACATAATTGGTGTGCTCGTGAACATTTGTTTGTGCCTACCTTATTGAACATGACATACATGTTGAGGGTATGTTTGTAAACATTGGTTTCTATATTTATTGAACATAAATTGTCAATGTATATGCGGCTTTATTATATCTCATCTCACATATTTCATGTTCTCACACGTTGTTGTCTTCGTGTAATTGAACATGACAGAAAATTGTCTTGACTAATCGGTTTGTTTGATACTCTGAGTTCGTGAACAATTCCATCAGCTATTTTAGTGAATAATATAATCAGCATTTCCATTAAGAATTTTTCAATCACGTGACATTTTGAAAGTAAGTAAGAAGTCGCTTCACTCCTTCTGCCAAATTAATGGAGAACATTTACTTAATATGCATATGCCGTTTATATCCATTTCTATCAAGTGATTATATTTCATTTACTGAAACTTGACATAGAACTTTCACGTTTCTCTTTTGCAATTGAAAATGATCTTCTCTAATAAACCTCATGTACACAGCGTGACCGTGAAAATTGGTTTGTCTCTTTGTAATGTCAATGGGTGGGAAAAAACAAATTGAAATAGGAAATATGTTACTTTTGAATTATAATCAAATATATCAAATTTTATCATCTATCATTTTAACTGAATGTCAAGTCAACACATTTCTGTTTCCATTCTATGGCAATTCCTTAACATTATTCAAAAATATACAAAATAAAACATACAATGGTTAACCTTTGTTCATACAATGTCCACAAAAAGTAAGGACTGTTGTTAACGACACAACGTTCTGCGAAGTCAAAAAATCCTCAGGATTGTCAGTCTTAATCGATTTTTAGATTTGTGACAAGAATTGGTTTTGTTTGTATATCAAATTTTAATAGACGTAGCATCCTTCATCATAGATCTGACTCTCTTCTTGCTGTTGTCAGTGATATTCGCATTGTCAGACACAGTTTTGTGTTAGAAAACAAGCGTGTAATTGTTCTGTCACTCCGCTATTACAAACCAATGTATTCTAATTGCCACAGGATCAGAGCCATTCTACGAGTAATTCCTGGAGATTTAACATCTTTTATTCCAATAAACATCGAATACGGATAGCTTTTATCACCAGTTTTAATTTTTTGTAGAAGCACGCCACGTTGTATGTTTCCGGTTGATGTTTTCTATGACTGCAAACTCTCATTAAAACTACACTTTATAAAAGACCTAATTCAATTGACATAATGGAAAAACAAATTTTTACCTCACAATGCTCACAAATCAATTGTTGATCATTTGAAGAACGGATTTGGTTACAATTCCTGTTGTTAAGAAATTGATACCCTGTCAGCCACTAATAAAACTTTAAAACATGCACATATACCTCTAGCGGTCAAATGACAAAAGGTATATCATGGTTTATTTCACGATATAAGGCGCTTGGGTCTGTTCTTGGAATCATCAATATGATGTATTGGCTTTTACATTATTTTATACATTACTTTCAGGATGCCTACTATTCAAAACATTATATTTATGGTATATTGGTAAGTCTAACTGTACGTTAAATCCAGTCTATGTTATTTCTTTTGTCATCATTACCCGTGCCCATTTCAATTTATTGTCGTATCCCTGGGGCATATTAATTGTATAGATAAGTTTTCTACTGCTATCGGAGCCAACCATTAGCTATAGAAACAGTTTTTGATAGACGTGATGTAACTTCAGATAGTGGAATATTGATGGAAGTAAAAATAACTATATTGATTCTAGAAAATTACTGCTGACAGTTCTGAGACTTGGAACTTAATAGGCCAGATCAACCAGACTTACGTCCGTCTGGCTTATCAAGACGCTAAAGCATTTCTGAAATAGGACCTTTCACTGAGCTGCTAGTGGTGGATTCCACTAGTCATTTCATCTAACCTGCATCAGTGACTAAATGCAATGAAACAGAGTTTTACGCCAAGCTGCAGTGAAGGGTTAGAGAGAGGTTAGAAAAAGGATAGCCACCTTACCCGTTTGCAAAATCATATTTGCGACACAACGTCATAATAATAATAATTAATGTTTAATATCGAGTTAACAGGGACACTTGACGTCATGCATGAAATCAGAACACTTCAAATATGACTCTTATTCATGGTTACAAAACCTTTTCTTGCTTGGAATCAAACTATCACAAATCAGAGAATGCTAGCAAAAATAATTGACTGACGCGATGGTACTCATCAAATTTGCATCCATTCATTACTTTTAAGTAATTTAAGTGACTATAGATATAAAAGACTAGCTCTTTGAACGCCTAGAAAACCTCGACTAATATCAATTCTCTACGACAATTTCTTTAATGGAATACCTAGATACTTTAAATCCAATTTCCAATAAACCCAACTTCACTAAAATGAGCTTCGATTTTTCTCCCATGTTTTTATGTATTTGTGTTGAATGTTTTTGACCGTGATTGATTAAAGTGCTTGTTCAAGTGTTTCTGAATAATTTACTTCCAAATTATAGCACCGCCTTTTTTTTTGTTTCAAGGTAACAAGAGATTTGTAACGAGATAACGACATAAAAGCTCGGGGAGCAAATTTGTTACTTCCGGTCTGTTATTTTGATCAATTCTACGAAGTAACGAAGGAAAAAATCTGTGCGATGGCAATGATAAATCTTTAGAAGGAAAGAAAGATAGAAATATAGAAAACTACCTAAGGTTTACAAATACGGAGCTGATGCAAATTGAAGGACTGTGTTACAAACCTTGTAAATACCTTGTATTAAGAAATATATGAAAATGAAATATCGTTGAAAAAATTTCAAAGGCGATAAAAATTAGGACAATTATATATTTCTAGTTTTAGCATTTGTCAAAGTTTCGAATATTTGGTAATAAAACAGTCAACTGTAACTAAAATCTGTCCAAATTCATATATATTGCTATATTATCTTCGGAAACATCTAAAATTGATATTTTCATTGGTCAGTATTCTATATTGTGTTTTTAATGAATATAAACGTAACGAAGCACACGATATATGGATACACTATTTGTGACATATCTGATATTTCATATCCATATATATCTTGTGCTTCGTTACCTACTCCTATTTCTATATGCCTTATAAACAGAATATAAACGTATTTCCGATGTGTATATCAAACTTACCAAACTAGACTATTATTTTCTAAGATTGACAGTTTTCAATACAAATAACAAAATGAATAACTCATTTATTTTTCGTGGTTCATTGTGATTTGATTGAATTCAAATTGAAAGAAATTCTCCAATTAACAATCCAGTTAAACATTTAGAGAATTGCTTGATTGATTATTGATTGTATCGATAGATTATTGGGAAAGTAAATAATGGTGATATATTGACATGAGATACTAATGGGAAAACGAGACAAGTTATGTTTTAATGCAAGTCTTAGGATATAAGGTGTGAACGTTGAACAGCGTGCTGGAAACAACAAAATTATAATTCGGTGAAACATTCATTGTAATCTTCATGAGTCTATAGTACTAACAACAACTCCGAAATGCTGAGCTGAATTATAAGTTTATTTCTTATCAAGTGAAAATATTTCATCCACATCTAAGAGTCTAAGAAAAAGCAAATTTCAGTGCTGCATGTTTTTTTGAGTCAAGATTCTTCATCAGTTCTCTACAGATTTTACTAAGTATGTATTTGATTTCTTGATTGAAATCGATTTGACCTGAAGCTTTTACAGAACTGATTGAATGAATTTCAACATGACTTTATATTGAAATGAAAAACAAATAATGTTTCTAGTCAAGCTTTCAAATGCTACAGAAATAAGCCTCTATAGTCATTGTTCAAAACACCACGATTTGTAAAGACATAAATTTAGAATTTGATTGTCTTATATTTGAGTAGAGTTTTATTTGATATTGCAATTTCTTCGTACAGTATAGTCCTAGATTATTGTGCTAAGTATATATTTAACCTTATATGACCTTATTCTTGCCAAAACAAACACGGTGAATCCAATAATGCGTTGCCATGCCCTAAGCAATCCTCGACAGAATCTTGCAACTGTTGAATTAATACGTCTTGATTCTAATGAGTTGTGGTCTAAATCCAAGATACAGTGCCGGCAGTAATTCACTTAGTATCAATATTGTTAAGAGACGATGTAGTCCTCGTAACCTAATTACTCCATGTTTCAACACTATCCGCTGTCACTTCCGCTAGATCCGATCACTAATCGACGCTTATTGACAAGACCTGAACTGGATAATCAAATCACAAATACATTGTTACTGAAGATGAAATTGAAAGTAGAAGCAGCGTTGAAGTGGTAACAAAGATAAAGTCTTTAAAAAGGTTGTTTATATCAAGGAGGTGGTTTCAAACAGAATTTCCATTCCATAAAATAATATTGTTCTATATTAGCTTTTAAATCTACTTAAACCTAATTCAATTTTCTTTCTCGCTCCTTTTAAGGTGGTTGACATACATTCAGAGTAGTCTCAATCACCTGGCCATGACCTAACAGTTTTGTTCCGAGAGACACGTTATGGTCGGTTTAGAATATTTAAGCACACTTTAAAACGTTTCCAGACAAACAACCTGTTATATTATTAAAGGGTAGAATAAGTGGTAATAGACACAATGTCGGTCTGACATGGTCTCAATTACTTCTATTATATAATATTAGCTTATATCTATTAAAGACGACTGTGCGTGCAGTATTTATATATCAAATGCTAGCATAGCTTGGGAGTATCATAATTATAACATATATATGATATATTATATCATAACAAAGTATAACGAAGTATACATAAGGGTGACCTCAATTGTGACATTTAAATTAAAATTTTCTGAAAACTGCTCTACTTCCTGTTACATAAAGTTTACTTTTTTCAACGAAAACACGGCAGCAATGGCAATAGCTATCACAAATAACGCAGATGGTGCAATATCCTTATCCGATACTGGTATCAGAAAGTGAAGAAAAAAAACCTTGGAAAAGCGTATTTTTATTTTTGCTGACGAATGTGAAGGTTGTTTTGAACAATACTGAGCTTTTCTATTCAGGGTTAGTTTTTATTTCTATATGGGAAACTTTGATTTGAGTCAAAATAGATATTTGAAGATATCTTAAAATGATTTACTTGTTCAGATATTTCAAGGGCTTTGATTGACTGTATTTACTATCAATCCAATCAAATCGCTGCATTTACAAACTTGAGTGATACAAGAAAAGTGTTTAATGATGTCAAGGTAGTAATGGTATTCATAATACCTCGACGTTGTAAAGATGGATCTTTTTTTTATATGACATTTTCTGGAGTAGATCTAACAAAATATATTCTCTTACCTTTGTAGTAAGTGACACTGAAAATTTCCCACATTTTGAGCACGTGAGATGTTCACAGTCAACACAGATATTAGTTCCGGTTTTATTGAGTTCAGATGGTGGTTTGTTCACATCCACGGCATCACAAATAGTCTCCTTATTACAGATTGGGCACTTGAGGAAGCCTTGTTCACTGATATCTGTTAGACTAGCTTCACGTTCAATCCTAGTCGCATATTCTATATAATCTTCTTCTAGTTGCCTGCAAATATACAAATATACACATGAACTTCTAGATGCTTTGCCATTATCAATAACACCCCTTGCTTTCAACAATTTCAGGTAGGTTATTTCTTGGGATTGTGGACGTGGAATCTCCACTCATCACCTTTGTTGGTTTGTTCTAATGAAAGAAAGGGGTTTTGGACTAAAACGTACATGTATTTGGTGAACTGGCCACGGGCACATTTAGATTGATTTAGTAGTATCACTAGAAAACACAATTTTATCATTATATACAATAATTAATTCACAAGAGGTGTTGCTAACTATTGTATGAGTATCGGGGACACTTATCACTTCCAATAGCCTTTTCGCAGATTTCCCCCAATACACGTACAAAAACTAGAAAACCTCTGTAATGAATATTTTTACAATTTCAGACTACAAACTTGTATCTGGAAGACTACGGACTCGGAAAATAAGTTTTAAGAAATCTTCAAACAATCAGTGGAATTTCCTTCTTAATAGTTGACCCGAATACGAACATTACAGACAATAGAACAATAGTTGTAGAAGTTATACCTTTTACACCGACAACTAATTGGTCCCATAATATGTACTGCCCAATTTAATTTAACCTATTGTCTACACGTATATGTATAACTGTGGAATATGATCAGGCATTAACTTATTTAATCATTATTTAAACCTTTTGACATCATATTTTCATTGCCGCCATTTAAAATGATAACTATGATACACTCGAGGAACTAAATCTCAAGGGTTTGTTGATCATGTCAAAGACCCACTTCAAGTAGCAACATTTCTCACGCCTATGGAGGTCAATCGTATTCAGAATTAGATGCTATGTACTTATGTCTAATACATACGACACGATACATCTGTGCAATGTTCAAAGACAAAATACTTCTTTTACTTATGTCATAATACGTCTAATTCATAATGCAAATGTTGAATTACATAAAACCACCGACAGAATACCTAAAATGATACGTGCAATGTCCTTTAACTTTCAACATTGTACATTGAACAAAGCATAATTGTCTTTGCGTCTTTTACATTGCACTAGTTACGTTACATCTTCGTCTTAGTATCTTCTACATTGCATTAGTGAACGTGTTTTATCCCGACTGCATTATCTTTTTGTGACCTGTGGGCGGAGCCTATCAGCAATATTAAATCATACACAATAACTTCTCCCCCATGTAGAAGATACTAAGACGAAGATGTAACGTAACTAGTGCAATGTAAAAGACGCAAAGACAATTATGCTTTGTTCAATGTACAATGTCGAAAGTGAAAGGACATTGAACGTATCATTTTAGGTATTCTGTCGGTGGTTTTATGTAATTCAATATTTGCATTATGAATTAGACGTATTATGACATAAGTAAAAGAAGTATTTTGTCTTTGAACATTGCACAGATGTATCGTGTCGTATGTATTAGACATAAGTCCATAGCATCTAATTCTGAATACGATTGACCTCCATACACGTCCTCATGTTTAAATGTTTTTCAGAATGTCTCTACATTGAAATGAAATCACACAGGAGATCCATTTCAATAGACATTCCTTTAATCATTGAAACACTGTAAAAGACTCATGGCCACAAGTTTGATAGTCCAGAATAGCTGCTTAATTTAAATGAAAAATAACACGATGTTGGTCACAACTTTTCAAACTCTGATATTTGTCTGTTATCCAAAGCTGAAATTCATATTTCCAAACTGAGGCACAAAACAAGTACATGATTAGTTTGAACTGATTTCAAAATATCCCTTCCATTCAAAGAACCAGAATATTTGCACAGTATGTTACCAAGATGTCTTATCCAGTCCAGTACACAGAAGCAATAGAACCACGAGATTCAAACAGCTACGTATAAAGCACAAAGTGTTAAGATATGAGGGTGTTGACATTTACAACCAGAGAACTATTCAAAGTGATTGAATACAATTGACATTTAGACTAATAGTAACCCTATATATATTTAATGATTTCTAAGTAAAATAAGAATTTGAAAACTACCCAGACGCAACTATGCAATTATTATGCTCTTCAAAATTGAGAGTAAAAAAGCTTAAATGCGATAGTTGGCGCGTTTCAGTTTTCATTTTAGACATACGATATTGGGTAATAAATAAGGTATAATATAATAAGAGTAACGTAATGGCAGAAGCATTGACGTCATTACTACCATTTTGTTCCATTTTGAAATTCATATTTAAATGTATTAGGGCTTGTCGAAATATTGACAAACCAATATTATGAATGCATATTGATATACCCTTTTTTTTACCTTTCTTTATCTGTTAGTTTAACAAGACAGGTTGTGTAGTGAAGCTCTTCCCCCAAACAGGGGTTACAAGGATCTCTATCTATGGGACCTCAAGTTTTTATACAGGCTGTGCACGTTTAATATCACTCTTTGCACACTGTTAAGCGTTGCCTAGCTTTAGCCCAATAGGAGAACAGCATGATGATACACATTACTCTGTTAATGATAATGTGTTAAATATAAATGGGTGTTACAAGAGAAGGAAAGCACTATGATTTAGTGTCTAGACTTTCTACAAGATATGAATATTTGATAGAAGTTCAGATTAATTACAGTCAACGTCCACAAAACTAATGTCGATCGACCTAGTGTGGTGTATGTCAACTTCAGACATGGTGGCAAAGTTAAATGCTTCTACATGAATATTTTGAAAATAAATGAATTTAACTCTAATGTCATGTCGTCTATGGTCTAAAGGCACATGGAAACAAATGGAAATGAGGATGATATAAAATTAATGAAATGTTACATCCTTCGGGTACCTTGCTGAAACAATGAGCTTTCTGCTTAGGATTGGAATAATGAACACGGGCAACACAATTAACTGTGTAATGTGATTTTTCATCAGTATCGCTACAATTTCCAACAGTTGAGATATTTATGATATATATTTTATATAACTTGTTGTTTACGGGGTTCTTGTTTCGTTTTTCAAATGTGTACACAAATATTTGTTTTTGTCAGTAATAACTCTCTGTGTGTTTTAATTGTCGGAATATGTTAAACCTATCCATTCTGGTGTCGAAGAACTTATAGCCCCGTCACGCAGGACTGCGACCATGTTACGTCTCTTGTCTAAAGACAATCCGTTGCGATATCAACGGCGATTATTGACGACAATTTTCTACACACTAAAAGCAACACCACGTTAATGCGACCACGCTCTGAGCTAGTATTCCGTCGCCGTAACAGCTCAGTAAGGACGCCTTTCCGGAAGAAACTATCATTAGAGAAATCAGATTCATTTTTTATGTCTCAATGTGTCACTTCTATAATAGATGGATCTAATGGTTAGTGACTATTAAGTCCTCTACGATTGTACCGTGTCTGAATCTGGTTTGCAAATTGTTCTCTAATATATAGTTTTCTTTTAAAAGTCCGAGCAAAATATCCATTATCGTATTTGATTTTCGGTTGACTGTAATAATTCGATTTGGGTTTATCATCTCTCGTCATGCGCAATGTCTCTGCTATTAAGTGTAGAATATAAAACAAAGCAACAATTACCGTTGAATATATCGGTCAATAATGTTCATAGACTCGAATGACCAGCGACAGTACTGAATATACGTAGATATTGTGACACGGTTGTCCGGTGTCATATTGATCTCGCCTGAGGCACATTTTACTATGGTTACTTGAGCATGGTAGATTCAGTCCCAATGAATCCTGATAACGAAGCCTTGAAGAACCACTGCCTCAACTTTTGAGTATTGAATCGTTTTGCCTGAACTGAGATGATAATGAAACATTTTCATCTTGATGTTCGGTTAAATGCTCTGAAGAAGGAAAGGCAAGGCGTCTGATATCTGAGGTTGCCCGAATTTCTAACTTAGTTATGAGAATTTTGCAACTCTTCGAAACACTATTGTTATTGGCAGAGTATTTTCACTCTTTCTAGAACACATGAGACTACCCCCCTTAGGAGATCCACAAGTATTCAGTTTAATTTACGGGATGTACTGTTTTCACCCGATGTTGGGTGAGATTTTCGGCTAATGGATATGTTATGTTTGCATGGATTTTATTATTTCGATTTTTTTTTTTTTAATTTCAATTATCATAGTTATCAACTTTAGTCATACATAGCTTTTCTCCTTTTTTTCATCATTGAAAACATCTGAATGACTTTGTCGAAATCAACATCTTTGGCAAAATTCCTTTCTATATTTATCAAAGATAAATTTGAGATGTAAAATATAATCATACGAATGACATTCGGGCAGTGATTTCGATCCTTAAATAATATGAATTATGAAATATTATTATAGGAGAATACAATCGGGCTATCAATTTAAAAAAAAATACAGTTATAGTATAGGATATTCGGGCAAAGATATGGTTTCATTTTTAAATTCCAAAAAAAAAAGAAATAATAAAATCGGGCCGTTCAAAAAAAAAAACTAGCCTTCGGGGCTGCGAGGGGGGCGGCTGCGCCCCCCCCCCCCCTTTGGCTCCGCCACAGCCTATTTTGCATCTAAAGTACGAAGAGTTTTCTAATTAACTGGTATTTTCAACTGTGAAGATTTCAATACTCTAAAGGGTGATCAGACCCATTCTCATTACCTTTAATCCACACGGATAAACATCAAAGGAGTAGCTTAAGTCGCCTTTGCCTTGAACTTGTAAAAAAGCAAAATAATCCATACCCCCTCCCCGTCCGTCTTCACGATTTCGTATCAAATGTCAGCCCAAATGAAGCATCTGCAATGCAGGACAAAAAGTCAAAGAAAAAATCACAACTCGAAAAACGGAAGTAATTTCCTTCACTAACAGACGTTTACTGTAGCGTGCTTGATCTGATAAATTCTTCACAATTTTTCTTATAGAACACCATGTATGGAATTAATCCAGCCAGCCACCAGTAAAACAGAGTATATATTGATCTTAATGACAGATTGTAAACCGTTTAACTACCTTTTAATACCTTTTAATGCTCATCATATGGTACAATGTTGTAATTAAATGTCACTATTCCATTTATTAATTTATTTATTTAATTTGCCTTGAAGAAAAAGAATTATAGTAAAATGATATCTTGTACAGTTTCTGAGTGAAAATTGAGTAACCTTTTGATAATTTACCTTTAATTGGATCGGTTATCGATTTATGCTTCGTTCAAGTTCAATGCGGTGATAGGTGAACGGTTTTCATGGTGGCACAAGACTCCATTTGAGTTCATTAGAAATTCGCTGCTGTTGTGTCACAATATGGTAGAAGGCAACAAAAGCTTCATATAGCAATAAGCGGGATGTGGAGCTCCAAGAAATATTAAACCCTGTTATGAACTGGGGTTAACAAGTGCTCAAAGTTTTAAGCTTTAAAATTTTAAACAAAAAGAATATGGGGGCGAGGAAACGGAAACAGACGTAGATCTTTTTATGCAATCAACCTCCATTCTTCAAGCTAATGAACCTACTTTCATTGTCTGAAGAGTTCTACGCGTCCAATTCACCGTCCTCAGAGAATCAGTAAAGATTGATTGTTCTTTTATTTAATAACGAGTGGAATCAAATTAGTCCAATTTATTCTCAGAATTCCTGGAAGTACCAATCAAAATCATCAATGATGAAGATTATCTGTAGACTGGCGGTTTTGAAATTTTCACGGAAGCTGGTGTTCATTAGATTTCAATGTGAAAATCAGCATCCATACAATAATTCTTATCTGAGTGAACAATATTAATAAGTGAACAAAGTGCTTTTCGTTCTGCAAAAGCAGAAAGAAGACCCCAAAAGTCTTGAGGTTCTCAAATAATACAAATGTGCTACATTTCCAACAGTTGTTGGAAATTATATTGATCCCATCTCCTATACCTCTATGTAGTTTGTTGGAAATATTTAAAATTGTCATACAGATAAAATAGTTGTCAACCTTGTAGCTTTGTGCCGTTTGCATAGGTTGTTCACCTCAAAGATCTCTCGACGGTCGGAAAAAAGTTGGTCAATTCCTGTCTTTACACCTCTATCGGTAAAAAGACATTTGCACATCAGTGGCGCAGCCAGGTTTACGTCAGAGGGGGAGCGAGATATCTGGAAATTGCCCGAATCTGGAACCTAGTTATGAGATTTTTGCCTGAAAAACTTGTCTTCGGCTCCGCCACTGTTGCACATTATTTCAAAGCGAATTTGAATATCAGATTCAAAACAGTAACAGTTTGCCACTTTATATACTCGTATTATAACTGGAATATTACGTCCTTAATCACTGAATATTACATGTTTTAAAAAACTTTAATACCATCGTCTGCTAATCTCCTCAATACTTCTACAGAATTAAATAGAGTCTTCTTAATTCTCTACTTTAAAAGCGCGCCAAATGTCAAAGTTTAGGCGGGAATTATACTGGTACATATAATGACAATTCATATTCTTAAATGGTTAGTGTAGTTTAATCCTCGCCAGTTCCTAAAATTAGGCCCAGCAGACATGGTGAGCAAAATTATTTGGAATGATGGTTTTCACAATAACAGAACATTATCATTGCCGAGTCTGATATTCTCCAGGTCGCAGTTCCCCAAAAATATTGATTGAGAAGGGTACACTTTCACTCTACGAATTGCAATGACAGTATAGGCCAATATTTCATTCGCGACACATATGGCCGAGTACCGAGTAATTTTATAGTTTTAAAGGCGTCTTGCACCTTTTCAATAGATTTCAATTCTCGACTTTTGTTTCAAAAACTTATCATAGATCAACAGACATTCCATGGATCAGTCGATTGTTTAATTAACCAGGACTTGGATTGTTGCTTGTATTATGCTCATTTCAAAGAAAATCCCAACATAAGCAAATGACGTAGAGCTGAATTTCAGCGGTTGCTCAAGTCTACATACAAATTTACTTTTATTGGAAAAGTTAAAAACATCTACATGTTGTGTCTATTCAGAATGATTTGTAAGTAACAACCCTTCTTTGTCCATCAAACTCTCTTTGCTATTTGCAGTCCTTATTCCATCAAAGACAAATTAGTCTTGTACTTCAAGACCACTGTATGCTGGCTTTTATCATCGAGATGAATTACAAGATTGTTTCAAGTTTAAGTAACAAATTATTCTAAGGTTCAAGACAAATTGGATTGAAGAAATTGGACAAGACTTTTAGTTCAGACAAATTCTATATCTGTTTTCTTTCAAATTCTTTAAAGTGGCAAAATCTGATTTTAAATAAAACTTTCAACTGCCAATATAAATACAAGGTGTTCATAAACGGTTTTAAGTCAGACCGCAATTGAGTAGATAGTTAATAAAACTACACTGTAAAAAAAATTTCCTTCCATTAACAGAAAAAATTCCGGCAGCTGATTTACCAGAATTTAAATTTTGCCTTCAGTTATATAACAGAATTTCTTGTAAAATATTTGCTTTAAATAACAGAAATATTTTACTACAAAATCTGTTAAATTACAGAATGACTAATAATATTTCCTGTAATTAACAGAAAATAGGAAGGATATTCTGGTAAATCAGCTGCCAGAATTTTTCTAATATTTCCTGTAATTTAACAGAAAAATAGAGAGAATATTCTGGTAAATCTGCTGCCGGAATTTTTCCTTCCAGTTCTGTAAAATAACAGAATTTTAAAAAGGATATTCTGGTAATAAATCTGTTGCCAGAAATCATTTTCATTTTACTGTAAAAAAACAAAACATTTCAACTTTATGTGTTTATTGGTATTATTTGTGCATCTAAAATAATCAGAGAAAATGATGTTAACTATACCTTTAATTATACATACAACTGAAAATGTGGGCGTATAAAAACAATCTCTTGCATAAAAACAAATGATGAACTTGAAATACATACTCATCACTAATAACATCTATAACATTCTGATAACTAATGACATCTTTTAATGATATTCTCATAAGTAATGACATCTTCATAACGTTCGTATTTAACTAATTTGGATTTAATTAATGTCTTTTTTTTATTTATGTTGACACTCTTTTCTCCACATTGCCCATATTTTATTAATATTGACAGAACCTGTGGTCCAGTAATTCTACTACTTCACTTTTTTTAGTGTTCCATAAGGTTATAAGACTCCATCATCCAGCGCAATACTGTTTATGATGCAACTCTAATCATTATTATAAGGCCTAATTGTTTTTGATGTGCACAGTTAATTGTTGCTCGTTCGAAAGTCAGGTCAACTCTCATAATGCTCCGTAACTTTTAGCTGGTAAATAATGGCAGAAACTCTAAAGGAAGGGAAAAGGTGACATACCTGAAAAGATAAATTTAAAATGAGAAAATATTTGTTGTGCTAATGTACTGCAGTAGTGTAGTAATAGTAGGGCACTGGATCTTTTAGTTCAATAAATCCAATTCGCCCTCGTTTATGAATTTTGTAATGCCTCGCCCACGTAGTGGGTCCTAACATTGAGTGTAAACGGTTAAGGTTTATTGACAAGAATATTAATGACAGAATTCTCATTCCTTATATTCTTGTACTCTGGTGCAATCATAACCGAAAAAGGCTGTAAGTACAAAAAAAAAGCGAGGACGTACAAAAACAGAAAAAGAAATTATAAATTAAAAATAATAAAATAGTAAAGGCATAAGAAAGTGGATGGAATTTAAGATCATGATGCAATG